TCTTCCGAAGCAGGTTCGTCTGCTGGGTCGAGGGCTGGGTCAGGCTCAGGAAACCGAGGGCGTGGATAAGAGGCTCTAGCCATGCATGCATGGAACTGTAGCTCGTGGCATGAGATTAGTGACAAGTTTCACCTTATTCAGCTAAAAATGTATGAATGAAATGATGAATTTGAATAAATAATGAAGTAGATGGTCTGTAATATGTTGTACCTTTCTTAGAGTGTTTGTCAATAAAAGAATTGGCCACGATATGAAATTATTTTTGTTGGATGTCTTTGCATATTGCTTCCATTTGTATTCTTAATTATCCCTATCATGTTCTTTTCTGGTGACGTTTATATAGGTTAAACTTTATCCATGTTCAGAGGCTCCCAAGCGACCCAAAACCTCCATTTCTCGACCCATCAAAATGCCTCATGACAACTTATTATCATCCATACCACAATCCACTCATGCAAGCCCGGGGCATTTGAGTAGCTTGGGCCCACTTAGGCTTGTAGCGTGGTTGGGTGTGACATAACAATGTTTGGCATGGTATGTTGCTTGGCATGTCTTTCAATTATGATGCTTGATGGGATAATTAGCATGGATTTGTAGAACTAACGCATTTTACAATCTTAATTTTGATTCCTAACACGATAGATTATTTATTTGGTATGGCACGCGAAGTGTGATTCATGCACGGTAAATCTTTGCGTGCTCCAAATTGGGTCTTTTCTCAATAATATATCGTTTTGGGCCGAGAATATATTTGAGCCCAATTGTGAATTTTTTGGGCCTCAACATCAGGGGAAGAGAGAGAGAGAGAGTAGATAAGGAACTAAAATTACTAAAATGCCTATACCACATCAGCACAATGAACGGTTTTGTGGATAGAAATGGACGAAAGTGGAAAAGTGAGGAAATTTTAGGAATTTTTAGAGATTCAAGGGGTTAAGTAAGAAAATTTCAGTTTAATGGGATAAAATGAGACCGAACGTCCATTTCAGAGGTGAAACAGTAAATAAGCCTTAAAAAAAAGCACAAACACACGAATCAACATATGCAGACACTATTAAGTAGTTTAATAAGGCACACACCATGTTATTAGAAGAAAATCAAATCTACTTTAGGGATCATCAAATCAAAACAAACAAAAAAAGGCATGCGGTTTGCTTACATATTTTAAATTATTATTACCTAATTACTCGTTTAAAATTTGAAGTAGAAACTTATGATACTAAACCATTAGTTGGGTGCTAAAATCAATGAAGCAATCTAATACAAGAGGAGGAATTTTCTTTTGGTTTTTGGCAATATTTTATACAAAGTGGAGGAGTTGACGAAAACTACAAAAAAGAAAGATATTGAAAAAGAAAATTGGGGTAATTTAAGTATACATGAACATTCAAGGAAAGTTCCACATGAGTGGACGTGGAGACAAGACAACCATGCACATTGCATATGTACAAAGTCCACAGTCCTGGACTTATCAGGGATCATGTTCTCTATCTCATCATCTGCCAGCAAATCCACATCCTATAAATAGCTCATCTTACTCTCTCGAAACGCTTATATGCAACGAAAATATCACTATTTCGTTATTTTTAGTCAATCATATTATATCGAACGTGATAATTTTTTCGTTTGATAGAACATAATTCACTTAAGATACCAAAACCAGTACTATTCTCCTTTTATTTAAGTTTTCCTGTGAAAAACGACTTCACTCAAATTACCACAAAATAAACTTTAGTTGTTTCTTGGTGGGCCCCACTACCGCAGTGTGCTGAACTGGCAAAAGGTACAAATTCTTCTTGTAAAACAGCAATCAAATTGAAGGAGCACCGCCCGCGATCCCAATAACGTCTTTTAAAAATTATAAATTAGTTTAATTCGTTCCTTCTACCGGCCACGCGGCTTCTGCCCGTTTCTCCCGATTTATCCCTTTTTCTCAATTCCCCTTCAATTCTTTTATCTTCCTGCTCAGTCATGACCGCTTCTTCCGGTGACCGGTCTATGACTCAGCTAAACTACTATTTACTCTCTCAACTATTTTATTCTTGATTTTTTATTTTTTATTTTTTTATTTTTATTATTATTCGTTTTGGGTATTGAGTAATATTCTATTGCACCCAGATTTTCACTATCAACAAACAGCCCAATGATGTGGCGCCCATGTTCTCCAAATTATCAAAACGCCCAATTGAGATTGATTGAGTCACCAATACCACTCTCTAGACTGCAGTACACAAAGCCTACTCTCCCCCTATCACAAGGCCTCATAGCTCAAGTGATCAAGAGTATGCATCGAGGTTCTAATTTCGATTTCCTCTTCTCCTAATATCGTTTGTATTTAAAAAAAAATCTCCATCATCGCTTTAGATTACTGTAAATCATATATGTTAATTAAAATCAATTACAAATCATCAAGCAACATTGCTATGTTGTGTCGTATCACCTTGCCCTAGCTTCCCAAGTACCCAATAAAAATTAAAAGCACCTATAATTACTATTGCCAGCACCAATCCACTCTTTTAGTTTAATTAGTCAATTAAGGAAACAAACAGAATCTACTAATTTAACCTTTGTTATGTCGGTTGGCGAGGACAGTGGTTCTACCTTTCACAGTCGAGTGTTAAAAACATGAAATTCTGGAAAAACGAAAAGTTGATTCAACAATTTCAACTGCATTAGTATATTAATATTTTTATGTGACGAAAATACCCTTTTTGTTTTTTTTTTTTGGTTTTTTGGTTTTTTGTTTTTGGTTTTTTTGTTTTTTGTTTCTCTCTTTTCTCTCTATCACTTTCTAACTGGCCGTCCCGGTCCATAAACGCGTTCACGCGTTTGCCTTGTCGAGTATCAATGTGGGTGACCACTATATATAACCCTTCATCATCTTCAATCCATTAGCAGGTGCAGAAAATTTAATCACCCAAAAATAAATTTTCTTTTTCTCTGCACTTGTATTCTTCTTCTTCTTCTTCTTCTTCAATCTTCTTCTCTACCCCTCTCTTTCTCTGCAAATCTAAAAACCCAAGATTTTGTAAAGAAAAAAGAAGAGATTTCAATTTTGGTTGGAGAAAACAAAGAAAGGGAGAGACCAGAGAATGCCGTCTGCGTTGGAAGATGAGCTGTTTCCGTCGACGCCAGGCAAGTTCAAGATCGAGCGGAGCCACGGCATGAACCGCCAGTTCCACCGGTGCTTCGCCTCCACCAGCACCATGTTCCTGTGGGCCCTGTTCCTGATCGCCTTGACGGCGTCGTATTTGAGTTTCCAGAGCTTCGTCGACTCCGGTAGCCGGTACTTCTCCGCCTCCTGGGGCGGCATCCAGTGGGAGAAGCAGGTCCGCAACTCCGCACAGATCCACCGATCCGGTGGCATGTCGGTACTGGTCACCGGCGCCGCCGGTTTCGTTGGGACCCACGTCTCGCTGGCGCTCAAGAAGCGCGGAGACGGCGTCGTCGGGATCGACAACTTCAACAGCTACTACGACCCGTCGTTGAAAAAGGCCCGCCGCTCGCTGCTCAAGAGCCACGGCGTCTTCATCGTGGAAGGCGACATAAACGACAATCGTCTCCTCGACAAGCTCTTCGACACCGTGGCATTTACGCACGTGATGCATTTGGCAGCTCAAGCCGGCGTCAGGTACGCCATGGAGAACCCCCACTCGTACGTCCACAGCAACATCGCCGGCCTCATCACGCTTCTTGAGGTCTGCAAAACGGCCAATCCCCAGCCATCGATCGTCTGGGCCTCGTCCAGCTCCGTCTACGGCCTAAACGACAACGTTCCATTCTCCGAATCTGACCGCACCGACCAGCCCGCTAGCCTCTACGCCGCCACAAAGAAAGCCGGCGAGGAAATTACCCACACTTACAACCATATTTACGGCCTGTCAGTTACCGGTTTGAGATTTTTTACCGTTTACGGGCCGTGGGGCCGACCCGACATGGCGTATTTCTCTTTTACCCGCAACATCCTCCAAGGCAAGCCCATCACCATTTACCGGGGCAAGAACCGGGTCGACTTGGCCCGCGATTTCACGTACATTGACGATATTGTGAAGGGTTGTTTGGGGTCTTTGGATACGTCCGGGAAGAGCACCGGGTCGGGCGGGAAGAAACGGGGCCCCGCACCGTACCGGATCTTTAATCTGGGGAACACGTCACCGGTGACCGTGCCGACACTTGTCAGCATCCTGGAGCGGCATTTGAAGATGAAGGCGAAGAAGAATTTCGTGGACATGCCTGGAAACGGCGACGTTCCGTTCACGCACGCGAATATAAGCTTGGCCCGGAGGGAATTCGGGTACAAGCCCACAACCGATTTGCAGACCGGGTTGAAGAAGTTTGTTAGGTGGTATCTTTCTTATTACGGCTACAATCATGGCAAGCCTGTAAATTAATATTTCTTTTTCCTTTATTTCCTTAAATTTTTTTTTTTAAATCTTACTCAAATTTTCTAGGATTTTTTTCCCCTACCGCAAAAGGTAAAAAAGAACCTGTGGAAAAAGAATCCTAGGGCAAAAAAAGAAAAGAAAAAAAAAATTCCGAGATACATTCTTTACTTGGGAGAGCTGTGAAGCTGTTATATATTTTTTTTCTTTTTTTTCTTTTTTGTAAAGGAAATATTTCAATATGCCTTTCTTGTGGGTATCCTAACGTTTGAAAAGAGGAGAGTCTGAGAGAAAGGTTCAATTTTCCGGCATTCTATTTTCTCGGGAAAGCGAAGCATAAAATTAAGTAGAGATTTTCTTGGCCTTTTTGAATTTTCCAAAATTTGAGTATGAATGGATGGAGTTTTTTTGGAATAATGATAAAAGCTTGGAATTCTTCTTTCCATATAATAATTTCCCTTAAAAATTCAACTTAATTGGATAAAAAAAATAAAAGCATGATTATTAATAGGAAACAGCTTTTGCCCAAAAAAAGATAAGAAGGAAGGAGACAGCTGGTACAACCGTGACATACGGCTGTGTCCGGTCCCACTTCGAGCTCGTACATCATGGATTCCACAAAACACACACACACAAGATCCAGCTGTAAAGTGTCTGTGTGAACTAAACTCTGCTCGTACTCGTACTCAAGAATATGTACAACTCTCTCTGGCTCTGCTTGCCGACGCCGGAGGGGTATTTTGGTAATTTCATATGGCCTTCCAAATAACAATGATCAACTTCCAACAATTAGTAAGATGTCTCGATGTATAGCGGCAGACGAGAATTGGAAAAATAGAATGTAAAAGGTGATTAAAATGTTAAACTTACAACAAGTTTGTATCGATCTCTCGCGTTCACGTAAATAATATTTGACGTCTCCTTAAGCAGGATGTCGGACCTAAATAAATTAGATAATTCTTAATCTCAATTATTGATGAATGATATGTGATTTTGACTGTTGATCGTAACATTATATTAAACTATATGTCATTTGCTTTGGCACGTCAAAGCAAACATATCGGGGACATTTTTTCCACCGACAGTGGTGGGTCTTATTTTTTTTGGGGGGAATTAGTGCGTCCATGTTCTATGGATGAACATGAACATGTGCGTTGCTTTGGCTGTTGACTAAGATGGTAAGATCAATATGCTTTCCAAGAAGCCATGTGTTATGCTGTCTTTGGGTCTGAGGTAGAGTATACAAATAAAACAACTTGTAGGCCCGTTGAGTGCCGCTTTCCGCGTAATGTTGACCATTTTTATTCATTTATTTTTTTTCTTATTTACATTTTTTGAGTGAACTCGGCTCTTGGACTAGTTTAGTAAAAAATATTAGGGTCGAAAATAATTTTGACAAATTAAGTTATTCGTCAATCTTTGCGGTTATCCTACACGTGTGGTGTGTGCACGGCACGTGAGCTACCTTGCATCCACCTAGTACTTACCAAACGCAAAGAGAAATTATATATTGATCTAGTATCACCATACTGTTAGTGGTGTCAATTTCCAATACAATCTGTTACACGACTCGAAACTTGTAAGGAAAAAATACGATTCGAACCCGCACAATTAGTAAGTAATTTTTGGGTCAACCCGTTATGACCCATTTAATAACACGAAGCGGAAAGCCAGAAATTATGGATGTGGAGCTTGAGGAACGCCGGAAAAATCATAAACGAGTGTCATAATGGACATCTATAAAAGAAAATAAGAGGAGAGAAAAAATACAACTCATAAAATGCAAATCTCGCCAATTTTCTTCCTTGCCATTTTTCTCAATCTAAACCTATCTCCTCAAGCTCAAAAATAAAATGGCATCTCCTCAAACTCAGTAAAGTACCTTGAGGACAGAAGTCGCCCAACACAGTGATAAAAACCAAACGTATATATTGACTTACACATAAAATAAAAAAAATTGATTTTATGAGATTTTAGTATGAAGCATATATTGACTTAATGAGCCATTCATTTTTAGTCTAAATCGTATTTTGCACTAAAACCAATTTTTCATATTTTGATTTGATGGGAATGTGATTTTCTTGTATTTTTATTTGAATTCAAATGAGGATACTTCCTTATTTACATTGTAAACTTAAGTAAATGAAGTAATATAAAAATAAATGAAAATAAAAGGACAAAGACATTTACTTAAATGATGAAAATGAAAATAAGGTAATATATACAACGTCGTCGTTTTGACATCAAGAAAGCCCTCTGGACTCTGGAGCATTTCATCAAGCAGTTTGTAAACAATTTGCAAGGGTCAACATCCTCTCCTCCAATGGTGGATTCCAGGTTTGGTTCAGTTTCGGTCCGATTCAATTTGAACCGGATTATTAAAATTATTATTTTCAAATTATTTTTTAATACAAATTTTAACTGAAATTTTATTTTATTTATTAATAAATTATTTAATTTCATATAAAAATAAATATTTAAGCTAAAAAAGAAAGATGTTTTGAAATTGAACTTGGATAAATATTAGTTATGAGATTAAAAATATAGCATTGAATATAAATAAATATTGAAATTATATATTTTTTAATTTGATCGGTTCAGTTCGGCCCAGTCTGGTTTTTGAAGACATAGAACTGAATCAAAACCGGTCCAAATCAGTCCGGTTCGATTTTTGACCAATTGTTGACTTTTTTGTCAACCCAATTTTTTTTGGTTTTTTTGGGTGTGGTTCAGCTTGGATTTCCGGTTGGAATGCTCACCCCTACTATTTGGATCAACCATTGATTGTCAGCTATGCCTATGCACAGCCAAAAGGGCTGGCTGCTTATATTTCTTTTTCTTTTTAAAAAAATTTATTTATATGAAGTTTGAGTGGACTAGGCTTTGATTTGTGGGTTGCTTTTAGTTGGAAGCAGAAGATAATATCAACGTATATTGAAACAATTTGGGAGAAGAAGAGATACACAATATAGAAAACATGATGAAAGCATAAATTACCCAACAAGCACAAGCAGTCATAATGAAGCCATAACAGCAACATGAAGGCTTGTGAAGACCTCATGACAAAAGAAGCAGCATCAACTTCCTTTCGAACAAAAGAAAGGTAATCTATGTTTCTGGCGCTATATGGAAAGCAAGAACCTTCTTTGGCACCATATGAAAGCAGAAAAAGCCTCTTCAAGCAATCTAAAAAATAAATAAAAGCATTATTGTCCAACCACTACAAAATACACAAGTATACGTCCTTCTTTATAAATACAGCTCTCCTCAGGCATATTGCTTGTGGGAGGCCTTGATACTTTTCATATAAAATTACAAATAAACACAAAACTATAAATTGCTCAGCAACCTCACCTGTGCCTTTTCCTTCATTTCATCATTTCAACTTCTCAATAATCACTTGCGCGCGCGCGCGCTCTCTCTCTCTCTCTCTTCTCTGAATACTACATTCTTTTTGGGTTTCTTTTCTCTGAATCTAACATTCTTTTCGCAGGAATTTTCATTTTTGATCTCTCTGCTATTTCATACTGTTTTCTTGTGTAGTGATATATATATTATTCTTTTGTGCGCAGTAAACATAATGGATGCAGGATCAATGAGTTCTTCGTCTAAGTTGAAGTCAGAGTCTAGGTGGCCTCTTCGACAACAACTTCTTCAGGAAAGGAATTCTAAGGAAAATGTAAGCTTTTTTTATCTTACACGTTGATCTTTATTAGTGTCCAATCCATTATAGATTGAATTGGATTTTCTTTATTGATTGGACTTTTCTGTTCTGAATCTTTTTATCCCAAATTGATCTTTAAGTTAAAAAAAAAAAAAAAAAAAAAAAAAACCAAATTGATCTTTATTAGGGTTCGATCTATATGACCACTGAAATCAGGTGTTCTGTTTTTCTTTGAATTGGATTTTCGATCTATACCAAGTTCTTTATATGAAGTTTATCTTTATTAGGGTTCAATCTGTTTGATTGCTGATTGATTTTAGGGGTTCTGTTTTACTTTGAATTGGATTTTCTCTGTTCATTGGACTTTTTATTTCTGAATCTTGTTACCCTTAAATGTGCATGTATGTATAGGGTTTTCTGTTAATCTGTTTTGGGATCTGATGTTAAATTGAATTTGAAAAACAGTTGGAAATATGATTAAAATGTGGGTTTTAATCTTTAATAGACTGATATTCTAATGTGCTTGCGTTATATGAATATCAGCTGGACAGGTTCATCCCCAACAGATCAGCGATGGATTTTGATTTCGCGCACTTCATGCTGACTGAAGGTAGGAAAGTTAAGAAAAACCCAGCTATGGTATCTTCCCCATCCAAAGAGGCTTATCGGAAGCAGTTGGCAGAGTCCATGAACATGAACCGGACTCGAATCCTAGCTTTCAAGAACAAGCCTCCGGGCCCTGTAGAGCTCTTCCCACGCGAGTTCTCTTCTTTACCACAGGACAAACCGGCAAAGCCCCGATGGCACATTCCTCAAGTGAGTGTATATTTTATTTTGATCTCATGACTGGATTATATTTGCTTGAACGTAGTTGGTTATTTTGAAAGTAGTTGTTATGTAACTGACTACTTATGATTTGATCATATATGCAGACTTCAGAGAGGACATTGGATGCTCCCGATCTTGTGGATGATTACTACCTGAATTTGTTGGATTGGGGAAGCTGCAATGTTATCGCGATAGCTCTTGCAAACACAGTTTATTTGTGGGATGCTACCAATGGTTCTACTTCAGAGGTCGCCACATTTGAGGATGAAGTCGGACCTGTTACCAGTGTGAGTTGGGCGCCTGATGGACGCCACATTTGAATTGGACTGGACAATTCTGAAGTACAGTTGTGGGATTCGACTGATAATAAGCAGGTTGGTTTGTTTTTGTTGTCTTTTATCTTTGCTCCTTTCATATTCCTCCCTTCCTGTTTTGCATTACCTGCTGCCCGATTTTGCTAACATTTTTTGGTTATTGTGATGTTTCTTTCTTTAGCTGAGAACTTTGAGAGGTTGCCACAGATCACGAGTAGGCTCCATTGCATGGAACAATCACATTCTTACAACTGGAGGAATGGATGGCTGTATCGTTAATAATGATGTAAGAGTTAGATCACACATTGTTGAGACATACAGAGGACACAAACAAGAGGTTTGTGGGCTTAAATGGTCAGCCTCAGGCCAGCAATTAGCTAGTGGAGGAAATGATAACCTCCTCCATATATGGGACAGATCAGTGGCATCTTCAAATTCACCGACTCAGTGGCTTCACAGGCTTGAAGACCATACTGCTGCTGTGAAAGCCCTTGCTTGGTGTCCTTTCCAGGGCAACTTATTAGCTTCTGGTGGAGGTGGGGGTGATTGGTGCATAAAGTTTTGGAACACCCACACAGGTGCATGTCTGAACTCGGTTGACACTGGCTCTCATGTTTGTGCTTTGCTGTGGAACAAGAATGAAAGAGAGCTGCTTAGTTCACATGGATTTACCCAAAATCAGCTTACTCTTTGGAAGTACCCCTCAATGGCTAAAATTGCAGAACTCACTGGCCATACTTCTAGAGTTCTTTATATGGCTCAGGTAACAACCTTAACCTTATAAATATCATAAATCATGTTTCCTCTTAGACAAAATACTAAATTCTCTTATGTTGCAAATCTTCAGAGCCCGGATGGTTGCACAGTGGCATCAGCAGCTGGTGATGAAACACTCAGATTCTGGAATGTGTTTGGGGTTCCTGAGGTGGCTAAACCAGCTCCCAAATCTAACCCTGAACCTTTTGCTCATTTCAATCGTATCCGCTGATCAAGAACATGAGGAAGTGTTCTTCTTTTCATTTCATATGGAGCCTTTTTGCGTCAGTATTCTTCCTTTGAAGGGCAAGTTAAATTGAAAAGTACATATTTGTTGTGATTATTCTCAGTACAAAATTATTTTTATAACTTCCCTGTTTTTGGTCGTACGCAGTGGGTGCTCAAGATGATGGATTGGAAACTCTTCCAAAACTGATCATTGAAGCATTAGAGCTCCTTCACATTTGAGAGCACCCGCAAATTAAGCGAAGCAAATATTGAGATTCAATATGATCGACCAAATAACCTGTTCGAATAAAGTGCCATTCACTTACACCAGCAAGTAACAATAGCAGCCAAAGTACAGCCTGCTAGAAACACGGGGCGTCACCAGCATATGATGCCACCGTGTGCTAAAGAGATCTTCTCCGGTATTGTTCTGCGATAAGCCTCTCACCAGAAATTGTTGCAGAACACTTGTGCATAGGGATATGATTGTCACAATGGATTGGTGAAATTTCTGCTCCTAAACCCGCGCCTTAAAGAAAATGCTCCCAAGGCATATCCCAGAGTGTGTCTCAACTGTTGATGTTGATTCATCTGCTCCTGCTTATTAATCTTCTTAATTACACTAAATGAACCTACTAATTAATTAAAATATTACTATTTTTCTTGAGTACTTTTTTGGGGTCCAAACATGTGTGGTTGCTCAAAGTGTGTGCATGTGCCTGCTTGGTTTTTGTTCTTTTTTTTGTAGTACAAGAGATGGTCTAAACTAAAGGGGGGAGGGAGTTTTTGATCACTTTTAAGAGTTGGTGCCAATTACCAAACATGGTTCCTTGGTAGTAAATAGTACATGTTAGGAGAATCACAATAAAATAAAATTTAAAAGTTAATACAAATATGAGGGTTATTTGTATGAGTAATGCTACACTTACCACATTTATATTCCACATTTTCATACCACCTTATGTAGCATATGAAGTGGACAATCACATCAATTAAAAAGTGTCAATAAATCATAAAAGATAAGAAAACTTTAAATTAATTTTAATTGATGTGTTGTCCACTTCATCTGCCACATAAGGTGGTATGAGAATGTGGTATACAAATGTGGTAAGAGTAGCATTACTCTATTTGTATAAGCCCAGTCTATCAACTCATAGCTTGCTTCGATTTCAAGTACTTCATTTCTAATCTCAAATTAATTTAAATCATATCCACACATTCCAAACATTGGAGTTGGGTCCTCTAAAACAATGGTGAGATTGTTTCTATTTTTTTAATCCCCAAAAACAAAACCAAGCTTTAAGAAAAAAAAATCTCCTGCACTAATGATGGTGATATTTCGGAGAAAAACCGGAAGTGAGTTCGGGGATCCCCAAATTTTATAAATCCTTGGTGGGTACGAGTCAAAATGTTACTGTTATTCCCATTTCCGAACCCGACTTGATAAGTGATATATTTAATTTTAAGTAATACACAAATAATAATATAACTATGTATGGTTATAATATAATAATTTAATATTTACTTAGTTTTGTTAAATTAAATTGGGATGATTATGAGTAATTGCATTGAATTTTATAGATCAATTAAATGTGATTGAGATTCGGAATGGATTTGCCCGAAAATTCTTATCCGGGATGGAGGCGGGACGAAATGATATTACCATACCTGACCACGAACCGACCCGTTATCATATGTCAGTGCCTGAATAACTACTCTTTATCCACTTAAGAAAACTACATTCCGTAAATTGAATGTTTCCACAAGTACTCCTTTTTTGACTGACGTGTACGGCCGAGATCATTCCCACACTCTAATCACCATCACCAGGATATACCGAATCTCTAGGATCGCCAAAAGGACCGAACCAAAATTGATCACAAAATTCCGGAAAACATAAAAAATATAATAAAATCGAAAGAAAAAAAAACCAGAATGAGCCGACTGTTCTGTAAATCGCTCCTGCTAACTCCCTCTCTCGCTTCCGCTCCGGTAAGATTCTCATTCAAGTCCATTTCAACACCGTCTTCCACTTCCAGGGTTCATCGTATGGCGACCGAGGCTTCGTCGTCACCGTCATCCAATGCAGACCGCGAAGCAACCTCTTCTTCTTCGTCTGCCCCCGCTTCCTCTGCCATTGATTTTCTCTCGCTGTGTCACCGCCTTAAGGTAATCAAATTTGTGTATGGCTCTTTTTGTGTGTTTGGTTGTGGGAATGGGTTTTGGATTTTTTGGTTTTGAATGTGGTTTTGTTCTTATTGGGAATTAGACTACGAAACGAGCTGGATGGGTGAAGAGAGATATAAAGGATCCAGAGTCCATAGCTGACCATATGTACCGAATGGGATTAATGGCTCTGATTGCTTCTGATATCCCCGGTGTCGATCGAGACAAGTTGAGTTTTGCGATTACTTCAATTTCTATTTTTATGGGTCTCGGGGTGTTTTTTAAGATTTGGTTTTACTTAATTTCAGGTGCATAAAAATCGCCCTTGTTCATGATATTGCTGAAGGTGAACGAAAATTAAACTCTGTACATTTTTCTTTGATAGTTGGATAAAGGAAATGAAAATGTAGAAATATTGTAAGCAAAAAATGGTCTGTAGAAATGAAGTATCTCTTACACAGAGTAAGCATGTTATGCTAACGGAATGGTATCAGAAGTACACATAGACAAGAGTCCATGTGGATTATTTTAAAAAAAAAAATCTACAATATGCTAGAGGGACTATCTGGATTGTAATTATAAAAAATAAAAAAAAATAAAAACCCAGAAACTTGGTTTTTCAAACAACAATTGTTTTTTGAAATCTGATTTATCATTGCTATTAAGGTTGTAATTTTTTGCTTCCTTCTAATTTCTTGGATAGCCATTGTTGGGGACATAACGCCCTCCGATGGGGTTCCAAAGGCTGAGAAGAGTCGAAGAGAGCAAGAGGCATTAGACCACATGTGCAAATTACTTGGTGGAGGGAAAATAGGTTTTAAACTAGTTCATCCCAGGATTGTGCATTTGTTATTCTTATACCTGAAATTGGTAATTATTTCTCACATTTTGGTTGCTTTATTTGCTTTCCGTATTTCAGCAGAAGAGATAGGTGAATTGTGGATGGAGTATGAGGGGAATTCCTCGCCAGAAGCTAAAATGGTCAAGGACCTTGACAAGGTATTTAATTTTTTATTACTCTTGTTAAATGAATGAACTTTGTCTCTACTTTTAATTAGTGTCTAGTCATATTATGGTAAAATTAAGTGTAGTTGGCCAGCTAATGATCTTTGTTGACGTGGTCTGGAAGAGATGTATGCAGCACTATCCGTATTGGGATTAAGGATTATGAATGATAATATGTTGAAAATTACCGACGTCTTAAATTTTCAGTCTTTGAATAGTAAAATTAAGAATATGATTTCGAAGTTCATTTAGAGAAAAGAGTACATAATTTACCCCCTTGAAATATAGGGGTCAGTTCACTTTGTTACTTGACTATCAAAACATTGCAATGTAGACCCTAATGTTTGCAGTTCTTGCAACTGCTAGTTATCCGTTAACCGTTCTTTCAACATGTGGGCTCAATTATTTGCTCACATGGGCAACTAGGTTTATATGTGGACAAAGAAAAAATGAAAAATAAAAAAACTTTAGAATATGAAATAAAAAATAAATATATAAAAGAAAACTTTGATCCCCATTTTCCCCTCAATTTTTTCCAATCCTCATAGCGTCGCCCTACTTGTGTTGTGCAATTTTCTTCTTAGTGCATGATGTATTCATTGGATTGTCTTCTATGCAGGTCGAGATGATACTTCAAGCCTTGGAATATGAAAAGGGTGAGGATTTCTCTATTCATTTTAGGCTAGTGATTTTAACATTCCATGTTTAGCCTCATGCAGTACATATGTGGCTGCAGAAAAAAATTGTAAAATATTCAATTTGGAATGTAGATGGGTAAAAGAGGAGTGTCAAAATCGCTACCCTAATTTTATCATTTCTGAATTACTGTATCAATTATATTGCTATGTTTAATCACGCTTCGCTACAGAGTCAAGACACTATGTTGTTTAACTATAAATACACAGATGACAAGGGTGTAGTCATTTTATCTGTAACGACCGAAGAAAAAGTCATGTCATCAATCATGTGCACTAATGACAGAATTCTATGTCTGGCTAAGATATTCTTCGTATTCTGACAATTTACTTTGGACTGAGCTTACCTTTGGATTTATGCAGATCAAGGAAAGGATTTAGAAGAGTTTTTTCAGTCAACTGCTGGTATATACATCTGGCTTTTGTAGCTAAGTTGCATCAGGATGCAAATTCTTTTCCCCTGCTTTCATTTTCCTCAAATTTCTTTAACAGATTTCTGTGTTCATTGCATGAGTATGTGCATTTTTGTGTTAATTAAAAATTCATCCTCCAAAGGAGAATGAATTCCTTGGAGTACGAGATTCTTATAATCTCACACTAAAGCATGTGTATTTTCTTGTGCGATTGACTTAAGGTGAGCCTCATTTTCTTTTCTTTTCTGCAGGGAAGTTTCAGACTGATTTGGGCAAAGCATGGGCTTCAGAGGTAGCATCAAGAAGGAAAAAGCAAGGCTAATTTATACTAAATTTTCTGCAGTTGCGCAAGAAGAAAAGCTTTAATTACTTTTCAATCTGCTCTTGACGTGTACATCGTCGATTCATATTGTTTAATAAGAAGACGAAACATTTTAATGTAGCTTCTAGGATTACCTTAACTCTTAAGATTCACTTGAAGTTCTTAATACATGATTCCGTTAACTCGTAATATTTTTTTAGAAATTATGATGGTCATGACAAAATTACAATTTTGGTCCTTGTCGTTTTGATCATTTTCTAACTCAGTTCCTGTATTTCGATTTGTCATTTGTATCTTTGTACGTAGTTAAGGTAAAATTATTTCATGGAAGAACTCCTTTATGACTATTTGCATAAAAATCATTTGTTTACCCGTTTTAAGAATAAAAGAAGGAAAAAGTTGCTTGAATCTCGATTTTTCAAAATCATTTGTTTACCCGTTAATATAGAAAAGAGAGACCTCTCTCTCCCCCTTTCTCCCCCACACCAACCCCACTCGCCCTCAAAATACATCGCACAAGACCCCTCCCCTCCCCCCCCTTCTCTCTGTCTCTATCTCGCTCTCTCTAAGCATGTATAATTTTTTTTTATGGTGTTCATTGAGCATGTCTAAAATTTTTAGATACCTGATTTAAAACTACTTAAGCTTCCCACTCAAAATCCAACCCCTTTCTTGTTTAAAAGATATACAATTTTTTATATAATGATTTTTCCATTTTTAAAATACCCTTAAAAATGGAAAGACTAAAATACCCTTAAAAATGGATGGAAAATTAGACGATGTTAAAGTCAGATAACAAATCATGAATTTTAAAAAATTAAGGTGACATTTCTCTTAAATTTTTCTTTAAGGTGACAAATTGAAACTGAGGTATAAGTTCAGGTGACATTTCTACAAAAATTCCTAATTAAAATTGTCAAAATTATGAACCAAATTGAGAAAGGATATTACTTGTCTCCTTCTCGTGAATCACAATTGAACACGTGTACAAAAATAATTTATCAAAAAAAAAAACTTCTACATACATATCATACTGTCCTTGGCAAGAATGTAGGAGTTCTTACTTATAGGACAAAAGATGGAAGTATTTTCGAATGAAAAGATACTGCTCAAATTAAGATGACAAAAATGTAAATTTAGAACAAAGAAAAAAAACCCTAGCCGCTCTCTCCATTTGTGAGTCCCAAAGAAAAACTCTATAGAGGGGAAGCATGAAGAAGTGTCATTGCCCATCCCCCCCTCCTTTCTCCTCGGTTTTTCTTTTGGGTTAGTGAATAAGTCTATTGAAGCGTTTTGAATAAGAAGCCCCTTTTGTGGTGATTCATTCTGAGTCATGCTCAGATTAAAGTTCCCCATTAACTATTTTATGCATTCTCAAACAAATCATTCTCCCAAAACCCATTCTCTAACACTGCTTATGTTCTCTAAACTTGGGTCTACATTGTATTCGACGAAGGTTGCTGCAAATCACTCAATTGCTCTTCATGAAAGTTGTTGTTTATGTTTATTTATTCGCTCTTATGCGCATGTAGATCGCTATAAACTATATTTTCCTTAGATCTGTTACATATGCGGTGACGGGTGCTTACAAACATTAATTATCCTTGCTGGAATTGTTGTCCATATGTCGTCCTCTTATAGGTGCGTACTATCACCTGGCAAGTGCCACGTGGTAGTACCGTACTATTGTATAATTTCTCTAGGTAGTGTTGGTCGGTTAGGCTCATGGGTTGCTTTGGGTTTTAGTTATGTTGGGTATATGAGCTTTATTTGGATTTATAGTTAATTCTGATGGATGTGAGCTAGTAGTTTTAGTGCGGCTTTTGTCCGTTTTAGTTTTGATTTTAACATGTTAAAATTTATCTAATGAAAGTTTATATTTGATAAAATAAAAACGTGACAAAAATGTAATCCAACAACAACAAAAAAAGAACTTTTTTTTTTTTTTTTTTTTTTTTTTTTTTTTTTTTTTGTGGTTTTATTTTTTTCCCTTTTTTTTTTTTATAAAAAAAAAAAAGGGAAAAAAATAAAACCACAAAAAAAAAAAAAAAAAAACTTTTTTTTTTTTTTTTTTTTGTGGTTTTATTTTTTTCCCTTTTTTTTTTTTATAAAAAAAAAAAAGGGAAAAAAATAAAACCACAAAAAAAAAAAAAAAAAAGAACTTTTTTATTCTGAAAAGGGAAATCACTTTCAGCCTGTGCTCAACAATTTGAGCTGGATATATGAAAAAAATAACAATAATATAATAATAATTTGACCTGGATTTGCTGAAGGTCTAATGTTAAAATGGCGGCCACCAGGTACTGGCAGTCCTTTATTTTCGCATAGCAAGAAAGAAATCATCATTTCTTCGCAGTCTCCTTCCTACTTGGGCTTTCATTTCAATTCCATTTTCTACAACAGAGAGAAAAAATAAAATCCCTAACTTCGAATGCAGAGCTAGAATCCCTCTCTTCCCATGGCCTGCTTTCGTAGGCTGTTTCCTCTCTGCTCTTCCATCAACGTAACTCTCTCTCTCTCTCTCACGCGGATATATGCATGTTTATGTTTGCTCTTCTTCTCTAATCTTGTTTGTTTCTGATTTGTTGCAGAGGACGACCTTTTCATCTTCTAGTTCTGGAGTTGTACAAGGTTTTCTGCTTCTCTCTGTCTCTGTCTCTGTCTGTCTGTCTGTCTGTCTCTTTCTGTGTTGAATGTAGGGCTACAAATATGTGCAACAATGTGTTTGGAAATGGTAAATACGTAATTAGTGGTGTACAGAATGAGAATTGTATTGGAGTGCATCTAATATGTTGTAAATGTGTGTATTGATCATTATGGACGATTACAGTTGTTCTATTTACTTAAATTTAGGTTTTCGAAGCTACGGTGGAATTGCTTCTCCGGAGCAAATTCTGTTGAAATTGGAAGATGCAGAGACTCGAGCTGGAGCTGATACTTTAGTTCTTGATGATAAGATGGCACAAATTCGACGTGAATTTGATGCCGCGAAGCAGAGTTTCCTCAGGGTTCCAGAGGCACTTAAAGCAATGCCTAAAATGAATCCGGAAGGTTTGCCAGTGTATTCCTGGTTCTCAGTTAAGCTTCATTAGTCATGATAATTGTGATATTGATTATTTTCTTATATTGAAATTAGGGATATATGTAAATAAAAACCTGAGATTGGACAGTATTCAAGTTTATGGATTCGACTATGACTACACACTGGCTCATTACTCATCCAATTTACAGAGCTTGATATATGATCTTGCAAAGGAGCATATGGTGAATGAGGTTAGTTTACACCCATTTAAGCGATGCTGATATAATTTCATGGGGCTATCCTTTACATGTAAGCCTTGTGTAATTTGATATATTCGTTTGTGGTTGTGTCAGTTTCATTATCCTGAAATTTGCATGGAATTTAAGTACGATCCGACTTTTCCAATCAGAGGATTGTACTATGATAAGCTAAAAGGGTGTCTCTTGAAGTTGGATTTTTTTGGGTCAATTGAGTCAGACGGATGTTACTATGGTCGTCGTAAGGTACTTTACACCTAATCATTTTTGGCTTATATGTTTTAATTATGGCCAAATGCTTTCTGGAACTGAAAGGTTTTATGCAGGTATTTTCGTTATACTTGTGCCTAGGCCCTAGGTTATATACAGCTTAAAATGTAGGTCTGTTGGTTCCAGATAAAAAGAGAAAGAGCTGAGATGTGAGAATTTTGAGGAAGGTATGACATAACAATAGTCTTTCATGGTAAATCTGAAAATCATCAATGTCTAAGCATCCACATCATATAAAACGGAGAAAAATCATGGCTTTTGAAGCTTTGGGCTATGAGGGAGACAATTTAGAAAGATTGGCGCTTTGAACTGGTTCACAAGAAAGTTAGATGGTATGATTATTATTTTTTGTATTTAAAAGATACTTGTATATCCATGTTTTTTTGTTAGATTTTAGTAATAAGCAATCTATTCATTTATTTAATTTTTGTCCCACAAGCAGTAAAAGACAATATTTAGGAAAGTGACTACAGTTGTCATGCAGAATCCTATGGGGCATGTTGCTGGATAATGAAGTAATATGGGAGATGAGCTTTGACCTTTTACCTTCTGTGAGAGATCACATGCTTTAACTGTTTTAGGTCTGAGTCTAAGCTGATTCTCATGGTGCTTCAAGGGATCTAAGGAGATTCATAATTCCTAGAATTTTTTTGGTAATTGGAAGGAAAAAAGCCCAAATCCTCTTGTTTGGGTACTCAGAGGAGGACTAAATATTTAAAGGGATGAATTGCAGGTAAAAAGGTCATGGATTGTATGGTCAATATAGACTGTTTAAGTAAAACTTTTAAGCAGTCATAGACTGTTTGAGTAAAACTTTTAAGCAGTCATGAAGGAAATTCAGTAGAGACTGTAAATGGAAAGCTTGTCCAGACTATAACTTCCATGAGACCATTCTTCATCCAAACTGGTCTTTTCTCCTTTTAAGATTCCTTAACTTCAAATATTCCCTCATGTATATTCTAATTTCAATTTATTGAATATATTTTGCTTTTGAATTTTTCTTTGAGCTCCCCCTCCCCAAGATATGATGCACAGCCTCCTACCTCCTCTGTAGCAGTTAATTTTCTGTAATTAAAAGATAATGATACCTCTCTTCTTCTGAAACATGGAAACTACTTAGTTGACATGTTATATGATATGAATGATGGGACTTTGGTTATTTTTATTTATAACATACAAGTAACAGTGTAGGCTTTGCCCAATTTGACAAAAAACTTCTTGCAGTGCTCTGTGAACTAAAAAGACTTCAATAGATTTTGGCAAACTTTTCTTTCTTACTTATAGATTTGTTATTCTCTCTTTTGAATGAAATGCAGCTTAGCAGGAAGGAAATAGAAGAGATATATGGCACAAGGCATATTGGTCGTGATCAAGCCCGAAGACTTGTTGGATTGATGGATTTCTTCTGCTTTAGCGAGGTTAGTTATTTAACTGTCACATTTCCCCAAACTTGTGATAGAAGAAGAAATTGATGCATGTACGGGCTGATCTCAACATTCGGGCATTGGAACATTTATATAAGAGACATGTTAGCATGGACATGTTTTGAAAAATATAAAATAAATTTTGTAAATTGGGCAAGTTATGTGGGTGAACTGTATAAATATTAGTGTTTCTTTGGTCGTTATGGGATATGGACATTGTTATGGGCTTGTGAAAGGAGTTGGGACAAGGCACTTACTGTTTTTTCCCCTTTTTGGTGAGAAAGACGAATATTAGAAGTAGAAACTTAGAGGGCAAGCTATCCCCTGTGGCACATATTCAATCCTAAACCAAACCGCATCTAGAACAACAAAACCTGCCCATAAAACTGAAATACATTACATAGAAGCTGAGTCAATTGCGAATGAAAATTTAGATACCACCACATTCTATTTGCATGATAGAGAGAATGGCTTAACCGTAAATACCGATGAAATTGAGCCCCACAATGATGTTCTAAAATTGTACTCTGTCCTACAAACCCTGCACTTCCTCACTCACCATAATTTTCGAAAATCCTTTTGTTTCTTTCCACCCAGGCGGTGGCCATCAAACAATAGTTCTACAACAGTTTTGCTCTTTTGCCCACTCCAAAAATGCTAAATACTTTTTTCCACAAGAAAGAAATGCACAACTTTGGAATTACCTTCAACACATTAGCTTCCTAAGAAGTTTGTGCAAAAGTTTTAAGGTAACAGGCCAGTGAAGAAGCTAGCTGTCTATACTTTCAGCTTCCGTTTTACACATAATTTAGTTCTGAACAATTCTTTTGTCAGAAGTTGTAGGAATATGTTTGTTTCCTTCTAACCCATTAATGTTTTGTTTCAATTGTTACTATGTAGGCATGCCTCATTGCTGATATCGTGCAATATTTTGTTGATGCTAAGTTGGAATTTGATGCTTGCTACATCTATCAAGATGTAAATCGTGCAATTCAGCATGTTCACCGTAGTGGTGTGGCTCATAGAGGAATTCTTTCTGACCCCCATAAGTATCTCGTAAAAAATGTAAGCCCTTCCACATTTTTTGAGTATATTCTATAACTTATACTGATATTTCTGGCTGTACATCTAGTCCAATTGTCTAGTTTGATCTCGTTATTATTCTTGAGGTGATGGCTCATCCTTATGTGGGTTAATATTTATTAGGGTCAGCTGTTGCACTTTCTCAAGATGCTCAGGGAGAAGGGAAAGAAACTATTCCTGTTGACTAACTCTCCATATTACTTTGTGGATGGAGGAATGAGGTTTATGTTGGAGGTAAGCCAACTAACTGTGAATTCTACCATCACCACTTTTAACAGCTTCAGTCTCAAAACTGAAGCCCCTTTCAGACCAATTGGAACGGTTTCGTAATTTGTGAAAAAGTGGATGCTAACTTAAGAGATGTTTTCTGTTCGTGAATGTTTTGGCTAACTTGCTATTGTTGTTATCTAGACTTAAGTTTATGGTTTGGGTTTTAAGTTTCCTGAGTTGATTGTGACATTTTCTTAGGATTCCACGGATTTCAGAGACTCCTGGAGGGAACTTTTTGATGTTGTGATTGCTAAAGCTAATAAGCCAGATTTCTACACATCTGAGCATCCCTTCCGGTTTGTATCTTCAACTTGCAAAATTATTCTACTTTTCCTTAATGTTTCGCATGTGTGATAACAGATTGGACATGATGCTCTGTCTTGTTTCCTTGTATTCAAACTGTTTTCAGTGGTGTCTTTTTTTTTTCTTTCTTAAATAAGTTTCACTCTCGTAATCACCTAAGAAATAAGATAAGCTAATATCTTGTATGGTGTCTTGGCCTGCACCTTGATTTCTGGAACTTCCATGCAGTTGCTATGACGCAGAGAAGGACACTTTAGCTTTCACGAAGGTGGATGCATTTCTTCCTGATAAAATATATTACCATGGATGCCTTAAATCCTTCCTTCAAATTACTAAATGGAAGGGACCAGAGGTGCTTTAATTTCATATGATTTGTTTTCAAATTTATTTCATATAGCTCATACACTTTTGCATGTCATTGATCACCTACGCCCCTTTGGTAGGTGATATACTTTGGAGATCACCTATTTAGCGACCTTAGGGGGCCTGCAAAAGCTGGTTGGCGCACTGCTGCTATAATCCACGAACTAGAAGTATGTCTTTGTTATACTTATGAGTGTTGCATTATACTTCCAGAGTATTTCTTTTTGGTTAGTTCAAAGGTCCTTTGTGCTTTGCAGGATGAAATTCTTATACAAAATGAGGATGCTTACCGCTTGGAACAGGTATTATTATGCAAAGTTATCATATTAATTTTTTTTTTTTCTGTTGGTTGGTTTTGTTATAATTCATTTCTTTTTTATGTTGGCATGCATAAACTACTTAATGACTGTATACATTATCTTATCATCTTTAGAGTACTTTTGCCTTGAGTTCTTAATTATGTTAATTTTTACATAAGAACTTTCTTGGAAGTCTCTCTGTCTCTCTGTCTCTCTCTCTCACACATCAATTCAAAGTGGAATTCTCCTGTGAGGATTGTAGATTTTAACCATGGATTACAATGTGGATTCAGGTGATGGGTTCAACCTACATTGCACAATGGTTAAAATTCTCCATGCGCATAACTGAATTCCTACTATTCAAATTTGTGATGTCTTTTTCATGCTTCTGAAACTTCTTTCTGGGCGCAGGCGAAATTTCATATATTACAAGAATTGCTTGGTAGATTGCATGCTACTGTAGCTAATAGCCAGAAAAGTGAAGCCTACACATTACTGTTGGAGGAGTTAAATGACTGGAGGCACAAGTCAAGTCATAAGATGAAGAGAATGTTTAATAAGTCTTTTGGAGCCACCTTCCTTACTGATAGAGGTCAAGAATCTGCTTTCGCGTATCATATTCATCAATATGCAGATGTCTATACCAGTAAGCCAGAGAATTTTTTGCTCTATCCACCTGAAGCATGGCTTCATGTACCCTTTGATATTAAGATTATGCCACATCATGTGAAGGTATGTCTCACTCTGCTTATTTAAATAATATGTGGATAATAAACTACAGCATTTGTTATAAAATCATGCTCCTTGGTGTGAGATGCCTGTAGTAAGAATTGAGTAGATCTGATTCTTGAAATTTTCCTATGTCATTGCTCTTGTACCTTAGTCACATGACAAATGTTTTAATTTATTTTTTCTAATATTGATTTAATATCAAAGGAAAGGAAAGAAAGAAAAATTGGCCAGCGACCCACTGATTCCATATTATGCTGGATTGATAAATTTAAAGTCACTGTACAAGCATTTGTGTTTGTTTTCCTTTTAGTTATATTCATTTAAAACAACCGAAGCCAATTCAATCTGTGCTAATCATAGAACTTGTATATCGTTATGATGCCCCTTTGTTGGCACATGGGATTTTTTACATTTGTTCGTGGTAGGACCCACAGCAATTGGAAATTTTGAATATTGTGGTTTCAAAACTGATGGGAATTATAGGGAATCTGTCTTCGTTTCTTGTTGAACCTTTGCATATATTGATAAAGTGCCAGAGATAGCAATCTCTTTGCATGACACATGCTTGCTGAACTTTCAAAGGCATGCCTCTTTCAAATTTTATTACCCACCATCCTGTTTCACATTGCCTATGTTTGCAATGTCTATTCTGTTTTTTTTTTCCCTTTTTTCGATTTCCAATTGTAGGAAATAATGCGCTGCTCTGGCTATACTTTTTGAAGCTCTGCTTTTGGAGCTTTTGAGAATCTCAGTTTCCTTGTGATGTAGTCACGGATACTGTGATAGACTTTTCAGTTTCCTTATCCTAAATATGTTCTCACATAAGACACCTAAACTTAAGATATCTGGCAATACTTCCAGTTATATAAAGTGGGATGGTCTGAGATTAAAGTGGGATGGTCACTACATTTTAAACTGGTACGTGATCTTCGGAAGATGGACAAACAAGTTAGTATGAAGGGTTAGGGTTCTGATTCCTGCAATGAAGTAGGCGAATTTTGTAGGAAGGGTGATTTGGGTTTGATTTCTTCAAGGGATATGCATTCGATTTCTGGTTCTGGAAACGAGTGTTTGATTTTGGTGGGTTTGGTTGGAATGACTTAGGTGGGTTTGAGTGTTTGATTTCTGCAAGCTGTTTGGGTTTCATTACTGGTCGTGGGTTGTTGGTATTTATGTGTTTCTTTGACACTGACGGTCTGGATGAAGAAGGGGTGTAGGTTTTATTTGAGTTTGGGTACTTGTTTGTCCGCCTTTTGAAGATCATGCGCCAATTCGAAGTTTGACCGTACATTTTTTTTCTGGAGAAGAAGCACAAGAAGACGAAGAACGTGGGTTGAGTTTTTTGATTTTGCTTTCTTAACCAGTCTGGTCGATGGAGTAGTGAATTTCAAGGTTTTGTTATGTACTTGACAATGAAATGTGATATGATTCCATCATTGTTTCTAAAGCCGCCATTGTGCTAAGCTATTAGATTAAAACCTCGTGATATATCTGTCCACTGTATCCTGTGTGTTCTGACAGCACCCTCCTCTTTTCAGGTTTCGTCGAGCTTATTCAAAAATGAATAAATATTATCTCTCAACATCGTCATGGATGGGTCATCACTTATCGTGCAGTTTCTGCTGTGTTCATCTCCCAACATGGCCAGTGCAGGTTTCATGTTCATCAGAAGTCAACATAGTATGCTCTGGTACTATAATTCTGACAGTTTTTAGGAACATTCTTTGTAACTTGTAAGCATATCAAGCTGCAAGTTCTTTCATTCTTTTAACTGCATACTGAAACCAAAAAATTAGTCACTGGTAAAAGATAAAAGAAATTTAATAAAAAAAACCACAGAGAAAAAAAAAAATTCTGCTTATGTGAAGTTGAGGGGTGATCATGGCGATTGAGGACTGGCGGAGGGGTTTGAGGGGCCGGTGGAGCCCTCTTTCCCAAAAAAGTTAGCGTCTTTGTGGTATTGGGTTCGGTTGGTATTGTTGGTCATGTGCTTGGTTTTGTTGGCTGCGATTTTTGTCAAATGGGCTGTGTAAGGTTTATAATGGAGTGCACGAATTTTGTTCTATATACAATTAACCTACCTCTGGTGATTCTGCTACTGGAATGGTTTTTGACTAATTGTTTGCATTGCTTTTATAAAATTTTACATGGAACGCGTTTCCTTTTTGTGCATCGCTCTCATACTGTTGCTCTCAGATTCTAAGCTTTTAGACTAGGAAATGAGCTTTTACACGGCTTCTGATGGTGGGTTGGGACAGAAGGACAATAAAGCTCCTGTCAAACTGACGGAAATGAAGGCTTGGACTTGATTTGTTAACGACTGCAAGTATAGTAACGAAATCGGGAAAATTGAAGTCACAATGACTAAAATTGATTTCGAGCCAAACTCCAGTGACCAAAAATTAACCCTTTTAACTTCATGGAATTATAGTATGATTCAAATTCTGAAATTATAGTATGCTTCTTTCAGGTTTCCTTAATTTACCACATATTAAGTCTGGTAATATGTTGGTAATGTGTTGTTGGGGAGAGAATTAAAATCCAGCTTTATTAATAACATGAACAAATAGCAGCACAAACGACCTTTTTTTTACCGGTTGATTGTCGGTGACCAAAACTTACAAGACGAAATGCTTTTTCTGTTTTAGTAAAACCATTATTGTCCATTTTTGGGTTTCTTAATCAATCAGATTTCTAGATATTGCCTAGTGAGGAAAGTTTCCACACATGTTTGCTTGGCTTGAAATTGATGGCTCCTTGAAGGCTCTGCTTGACAAGAAAGACTTTCATGAAACGAGAATAGCACTATTGTGCTATACTCGGCAATATAACATGTGTGTTAACACTTTCATATGATATAGCATTATTGATTGAGTATAGCCCTATTTTTCTCCAACTTAACATTCCTTTCACCAATTTATGTCTTATTGTTGTTAATATTATTATTATTATTATTATTATTTTTCTTCTACATGGTTCTAGATAACTTGAACGACTACACAACTGTTGAGTTACGTGCCCTATTTTATAACACAACCAGTCTTCTGGTACGTGTTCCCTTTTAAAACATAGAATAGAACCAGTCCTGTTGTTGCAAGCAGCTAATTTGTTGATGTGAGAATTCATGACAGTTCGAAAGGTCATTCATCAAAAATGCTTATTAGAGTCTTTGCATGTATAATTAATTTAGTCATTGGTCAATACCTCAAATGTAAATGTCAATACGGCTGCGTGAGGACAATAGCTGGCTCCTTCCTATAAGAGTCATTTATCCTTTTAGACAAATCTAAGTTTTTGAAATGTATCAAACTGCAATTTGCACGCAAGTAAGAATGACTCTTTCCACAATTATGTCATGTTTGATGATTGAGATTGAGTTAAATTATTAGGTAATTGGAAAGAATAACACTAATCTTTTGATGCAATTTTTTTCTTCTTATATGTGATCAAAGGATTGGTTTAACTAAAATATGCCAGTATATGACTAAATATTTCTTATAAATAATCCAATCACGTTATTTTTAAGCCACTAAACATTTAATTATGATTATGAATCTTGTCCACCTTTGTCATTCTTTCGTGGAAATTCTTCTTAAGAATTATATTTCATTTGTCCTTCTTTCTCCTCTTTTTTTAAGAGAATTTTTCCTGGGTTACCCTAGCTAATTGCTGCTGACTGGCAGCTGCCAATCTCCCGTTCAATAATAAAAATGACACCTTTGCCATTCAATTCAACCTACGAATCCCACAATGCCTGCCTAGCAGCCTAAGCCTTGTGCTCATATATGACGTGCCCTGCCTTGGTTGGTTGGTGATAAAACGGAAGCAAGCTAAAAAGCATGCCACGTGGTCCACCTACATTAGATAGTTTTGAGGATCCAACACATCCCCTAATTATCGGATTACGGCACAAGCAAGCATATGTGGCGTTAGGAATTTGAGTTGTACAACAACTAAACACATGCACGAGAGAGACTTTGGGCACTTGTGCAACCTACCCTTCTTCCTTATTACCTGAATTAATGGAAACCGCGAATTACTGTTTTTTTTCCCGTTATGTTTTGGCATCCTGGTGCTTGAGGTCTATAACGGTGGTCCTACCTTTATAAATTTGGCAAAAACAATTATGGAGTTACGAATAGTTGTATTATTGGCTCATTCGTCCGTCTAATTACCTTACGTACAAATCTACTATAAAAAAGGGTTATGTGTGTCAGGGTTATGCGTGAAGGGGGAGGCATGAATGGGAAAGCTTAGGTTAGCTGGGTATGTTATTTTGGACCGAATAAAAAAAATCACTTGAGTTATAGTCCATGTTAGGCAATGCAAGGGTCCGTCCCTGATCATGGATGTCAAAATGATGCTATATAGGTGATTTTTCATCACTCCTTATAGCTAGAAATTTAGGATTCCTATAAATTATATATTGTCCATATGGTAGGGCTCATGTTAATTCATGCGGCATTGATTGTTTTTAACAATTTTTAAAAGAGAGTAATCACGCTTCATACACTCCAACTATTGTGATTGACTGTTTTTTTTATTTTCTATATTACATTAGAATTGATGAGACCCTTAACCTATCATAAATCAACCCATCTTTCTACCATCTTTCACCACCTAGACTAAACCCAAAAAAGGGTTTCTATACAAATTACTACTCTCTAATCAATGTAGGAGGGGACAATTAAACTTTGGATCTCTTCTAATATTGAGAAGAAAGAGCTTGTTCGTAAACAAAACACATTATTAATCGTACTAACTAAACGCATGGGTAACATACGATGTGTACTTATTATATAAATTAATATGGTACAAAGTCAATCAATATTAAGGTAAGTTGTTAATTAATGCAATGAGTTACACGATGAGTTTTATTTTTTGGGTCAAAATTATGCAATGAGTTAGATTATATTAAAGTAAATTATCGCTTGTATAAAAAAAAAAATTGGTCCATATAACATTATTAATAAAGTTGATTATTATAATTGGTATTTGAATTCACTCGAATTGAATTGGTATGAAGCAGCAAAGGAAGAAAAATATAAAAATAAGGAGCATGCGGTAAAGCTAAAAGGATCTTGACAACATAAGATGGTGAGTAGATGGGAACGTGTAACAAATAGTTCACCAACCTCTTCCTCCATTGATGCCTGTCTCACCTTGAATCCGTCTCACAACTTATATAAGAGCAGAGATGGTAGGGAAGACACAACTCGAAACGAAAACAAAAACCGAAAGAGCGTGAATGGACAGCGAAAAACCCGTCGTTTGTGTTCTTGATGCTTCAACCTACGTGGGCTTCTGGATTCTCAAAGGATTGCTTGGCAGAGGTTTCACAGTCCACGCAGCCATCCAGAATAATGGTAAGCTTTTTCTTTCTTGAGGTTTAGGTTATATGAGAATCCGAGTTATTTGATATAGGGTTTGATGCAGGGGAAACAGAAATTCAGAAGAGAATTAGGGAGATGGAGAAAGTAGAAGAGAGATTGGAAGTGTTTGTTGTGGATGTTTTGGACTACCATAGCGTTCTTTTGGCTTTGAAGGGTTGCTCTGCTATGTTCTGCTGTTTAGATAGTTCAGATGGATATGAAGTGAGTTGTAATTTTGGTGAAACTCATATTTATAAGTATTTTCTAAATTTACTTTGATTATACTGACTCCATTTTTATGGACTGGTTAGGAAAAAATGGTGGATTTGGAGGTGAGAGGAGCAATTAATGTTGTGGAAGCGTGTGCTCAGACAGAGACTGTGGAGAAGATTGTGTTCACTTCTTCTTTGACCGCAGCAATTTGGAGAGAGAACATTTGTTCTGAGAAGGATGTGGATGAGAAATCATGGAGTGATCAGGAATTTTGCAGGAAATTGAAGGTTTTGTCCTCTATCTTTATATTTATTTCTTTGTCTGGCTAGACATCACTTTTGGTTTTAAGTTTATTTATTTATATTAATGGCGGAGAAGAATTCGAATATGGATTTCTTTCAGTATTGAGAAGAGAAATATCATTAGATAATAGCTAGTCGGTCACCTTTTAGTTTTTGTTAAGAACATGGCTGGGTGGCTATGATCATATATTCGATAGGTTAGGATTTTTGGGTATTTTTGAAACATTTGAAGGATTGTTATGACGAATCTGTTATTATTATTATTATTAAATGAGTGCTAAAAGTATGCAGATTGGGTGAACAACATTTCTCCCTCTAACGAAAAAACAATTAATTACCAAATTATACAAGTTTTCTCAGAATTATATTTTACTGACATTGTGTATTTTCTTTTTGTTTGTAGTTGTGGTATGCCCTGGCAAAGACACTCTCTGAACAGGCTGCTTGGGCTTTATCCATGGACCGGATGCTCAAGATGGTTTCCATAAACTCTGGACTTGTCCTTGGGCCTAGTGTCGTCCAACAGAACCCTCGGACAACAATGTCTTATCTTAATGGTAATTAATTAATAATTAACATCACTTGACACAACCGTTGTATTCGTAACTTGAACCATGATTTCATGTTATAGGAGCGGCTCAAATGTACGAAAACGGGGTGCTCGCATTCGTCGACGTGAACTTTCTAGCCGATATTCATATTCGAGCTCTGGAGGATGAGTCCACATGCGGGAGGTACTTCTGCTTTAATAGAATTGTGAATACTGAGGATGAAGCTGTTAAGCTTGCCGAGAGCTTAAGCCCTTTGATATCATTGCCACCAAGGTATGAATAAGAACTATACTATCAAGTATTTGATCATGTAGGAGTAGGAACATAAGTAATTTTGATGGAGGTAAAATGACGACGTTTTGAGGTTGATTGGTGTCCTTTGTTGCATGCAGGTATGAATACCATGGGAGTGAGGTGCATACCGAGCGATTGAGGACCAAAAAGTTGAGCAAGTTGGTTGAGGGCGCTGCCTATTAGTACAAGATGACAGATTCTTTCATAAGTTTGTAATTTTCTTATTAAGATCAACAATTGTGCCAGAATGTTATGATGTGTAGAGTATTTGAAAATAAATTAAGGGGCTAAAATTAAGTGTTTTTTTTATATTATAAATAAGACCCAATATAAGTTTGTTTTATCACGTGACATAACCAGACGGCGAAATAGCAACTAATTCTTTTTATTTTTTTATATTTAGGATCTTTCTTATTAAGAGAGACGATAATACACTAAATTCACACACACAACACAAATGTTAGGACTCGATGTTAGAAGTATGTCCTGAAAGCCAATCATTAGATGAAATCTTTCATGAAAATTTCGTTTAAACCAACCATTTAGGTTAACACTTAAGGGCAAGTATGTCGACTCAGGTAACGGCCCAAACGTGACCGTTAACCTATTTGGGTCTGATGATTAAACCACTGGTGAGGATATTGGCTTTTTCAGCAAACCACGCCAGCAGTCCTCTAGTGCTCAATCAGTCACTGTGCCACTGCTCATCTGTTGGATGTCTTAAGATTTTCTATTGACAAAATGTAAAATTTATGGATTTTTTTTCTTCATCTTATTGTATTATTATTCTAGAAAAAGGACAATACATTTTATACAAATTTATAAATAAACCCAATACTAGACATGTATTTATAAAAAAACCCAAGCACTATTTAAACATAGAAACACACCCAAAATCAACCCCAAAGTCA